CTCCAATACACGAATTTGTTCTCAGAATTATCATAAATTGATCAGGAATTATCTTAAATTTAAATATATATTTGGATCTTCCTGTTCTCAGTATTTCTAAAGCTTGCATGAACCATGTACTTTCTATGTAGTATATCCAAGTCTATTCATACATAAAAAATTAATTTCTCATCAATACTTTTGTTGTATGTCTCAATTACTGTAACACATCTTTTAAGCTCATGACAAAAGTAATTTTCTCAGCAAGTACAAACTGCTTCAAGTACAATTCATTTTATTCCACTACTTTGACCATATTACTGGACTACTTTCTCCACTATGACAGACTCTCTTCTCCATCACATGAAATTAAAAAGACTTGACTTGATTTGATTTTTTAAAGCCCTTCCAGTCATTTATTGATGTATTAATTACCTTCTTATGACTACTCAGGCATTGAATCTCATTTCCATTCAGTTCATAATGCCTGTCTCAGCCAAGTATTTTATTTTCCAACAGCCCTTACATAGTCCCTTCATATTCAAAGGGTGCCTGCAAAGCTTCACTATTTTCTTTCTAAGAGGCCTTTTAAAACACATCCCATTTGAGATGCCAAAAACTGAATTATAGTTAGAAATGGCTAGTGTACCAGGGGTCTTGGTACCAGGGCTAGTGTACCATAGATTTGTCCCTTATCTCTTGTTCAAATTTCTTTGTAAATTGTCCAATATTGGAACAATCCTTTTTTTTCTTTTTTGTCCACTGACAAATATGGAATAGCACAATGTCTTCTTCTGGATCTTCAGTACAGACATTAATAGATTTTTCTTAGTACATTGTGCAGTTTAGAATGCATAATTGGAGATTTCAGCTTTTTCCCTTTCCCCTTCTTAGTTATGCCTAGAAGAACTTAATGCGGTCCTCCAGCTGAGCACAGTTATCAACAAAAACTTTTACTAAACATTTACTCTACAATTTTTTCTGGACACTGACCTCCATAATGAAGTAGCTGAAGAACTTGACTTTTGCACTTTTTAGTGTAACACACATTCACATACCTGCAGTCTGCTACACATTTTTGCTCATGCTTATCTAGTTGATGCCAGTGAGCTTTCTAAAATGAGTGAGAATTATACACATTAACAAAATTTGCAAAAGTGTAGCCTTACCCTTTGAAAAGTACCACCTTAATTTTTTTCTGTTTTAAGAAATCAGACCTAACAAGTAAGCATTTACTTATTTAAATAAGTTTTGTGATTTTTCTGGTATCAGACAAGGTGTTGAACTGCCACACAATTAGGTTTTAAATTAGCACATTCATCTCCTGTATCACTTTTGGAATTCACCAAATGGACAGGATTTATCAAACATCTAATGTAACACTATTTTATGACAGACTACACTAACAGTCTAGAAAAGGCTACTCTCTAAATATCTTTACTACTGACTTATAGAAGTTACAGGTTTTAGCACCAAAGTATATATTTTCAACCTTTGCATGATTCTATTCCACTTTTAAACATTAATTCTGAACCTTATAAGAGCACTGACATTCTTCAATACACATTCATACATAAGTGCAAGTCTAGTGAACTAATCTCCTAACAGCATAAAAATTAGATAGCACCAATAAGAATAAAACAATGTGTTTATATTTCTTTTAGGAATATATTTTGCTTAGGAAGGAAATCTGTACAAATTATAACCTTAACAAACTAATAAAAAATAGTTCTTTTTGCACTTCTTTCTTTTTTGTTAACCTCAAATATAATTGTAAATGAGTTTAATTTCCAAGTCACACATTTGAAGTTTCTCTCTCCTTTTTAAGTCCTTCCAAAACACCCTGCCCAAAGCAGTTTTTATTCCAGCTCCCCTCATTATAGTTTGAGAGGCAGTAAGGGAATTTTCTAGTTATTAACATAGCCCTGTCTATTACTGGACAAATTCCACCCTGCCATTGGAGCAAGTCCAGCAACATGAACGTATATTTTCATTAATTGACGAGTGCAAACTAAAATACGTCTTTCTGACACAATCCTAAGAAGGATACTGAAAAATTCCAAATCTCTGTTAATATATCATATCAAATGTCATCAACTTGTTTGTGTGCTCATCTTCCACTGCTAGCCCATGGGTTAATTTGGAGTTTTGTTTATGTTTTAAGGTTTATTCTCATAATAAAATCTATGTTTCCAGGATTAGATTCTTAAAAGTTAATTATGTAGTAGCTGCTGAATCTGGAACTAAATCACTGACACTGAAAGAATTTCTATCAAAATAGAAATATTCTGTTTCTTGAACGTACTGCCCCAGGAGACACACCCCTTGGAGATAACTTTGCCTTCCACGAAGCAATGGAAACCACAGAACATGTTAGATAATAAATGGAATATTCACATCTCTTCCAACATTCTGAATGAAAACATAGATAAATCTTTCTTAAGTTTCTACACATCGTTACATTCCTTAAATACATGAGGTGAAAGCAAATCTGAAGAGCTTCTGTAAATCTGCACAGTTGAGAGTAAATAAACCAGGTTTGCATAGAGTTGGTACAAATCTGCATTCACCTGAGAAAAAGTTATTTTTGTTAATAGCACCAGTTTTCTCTCCGATGACACTGCCTACAAAGTTCTAATAAATAAAACACTGGTAGAGAAAATTCTGGGAAGATGGACTGAGGCAGACTACTGGTTGCTGAGAGAGTAAACTACTCCTGTCCAAATACTGTACCTAATATAATGCAAGAAGTCTTGCATTTTTGGGAACTTCTAAGTACATTCACAACTTCAGCTGACAATGTTTTAAATTCCTTCTTCATTGAAATAGTCTCACTCTTTGCTTTTTGCCAAAACTAACCAAAATGTTACCTTAAAACGAGCTTTTATGCAGTGTAGAATACTCAGAACCCGTCCAAAGGTTTAAGCCAAGACAATTGCTAAAAATGGCCAATATTATTACAGTCAAGAATATGGGGGAGTGAGTGCATTTTAAGACTGATTTCCCTTAAAAAATTACACAGATGACTGCATTTTGAGACTTCCTTTTAGATTCTGTTACTACAAGAGGAATATTCTGTGTAGGAGACTGAGAAAGGTACTACTGTGTTCCCTCAAAGAGATGGGTGATCTTTTGGGTGTCAGGAATTTGACCTCAGGATTGCATGTCCAACTTACTGAATTGCAACTCCATGAAATCTTTCTGTATGCTATTTTGTCAAGAAAGAAAGGACAGACTTAAATGACTTATTTAAAAAATTAAAAACATGGTTAAGAATAAATCAAGTATTAAGCTATTGAATGAGACACATTAATCTGGTTTCTTTCCCTCCTCCCCACCCCCACCCTCCACAATAAAAAAATTAGAGAAAAGGCGACAACTAATGAGGTGAGTGGCATTTAACTTTTGTCTCTTCAGTTCCTTTCTACTTTCCTTGTAAGATTGGCCAGACTTTATTGCCTGCTGTGTCATCTACTGACTCTTCTTTCCTTCGCTTTTCTACAGAAACTGAATAGCTGTTCTTCAAACTTGGGCTTGATTCTGCTGTCCACAGATAGGTGTCTAATGACTTTTCAGATGTCCTTTAATATCCACTTGGCCTCTATCTGCAGTTCCAGAGTCCCTCATAAATTCTGTCATATCTGCTATTCCGTGTACACATTTCAGCTACCTTAGCACATCTCAAATAGTACTAGATGCCTCTTTGCAGGCAACTGTGTCATGTCTTTCCTGTCTAACAACAATTTTCAGATACTATAATTGCAACTATTGCTATTGTTATCTTTGTGAGGAAAAGGATGAGATTGCTTTGGATATGCAAGAAATAAAGGCTTTTATAAAGGTTGGAAAAAGCCAAAAGGATTAAACCTCATGCCAAACCATGTCTGTGTACAAACAGAATCTACAACCTTCATTTTTTAGAGTGTTCTACAAATGATTTAATTTTTTTACATCATACAGATTCTGTCCAGGAAAGTGTACCAAAACCTTTCCTTGGAGGATTATAAAGGAAAAAAATTGAAGTCTACTGGCACCGAAAGTACTTGCCCATAATCTTAACAGCTGTAAGCAAATGCTCCAGATATTCTGTATCCAAGGAATGCTTATCACATTCCCACAACTGCCATTACCATCCAAACATGTCTTTTCTATAAAATTCCAATCAAACACAGGCACAGAAAAATGACCTGAGTGCTCTGGCCTTTGAGAGCTCCATCATCTCTGAGCTCTTAGGATCAAAACTAAAAAAAGATACAATTACCTTACTAAATGTGTTCCTCAGATGTTATAAAATATAATTTCCAAGATGGAATTTAAGACCTCTAAAAATTCTGATATGCAAAGTGGTATTAAGGCTTCCCTAAGAGATCTGGTGGAGCTTTGAGTTTCTTCCCCCACCTCTCCCTGAACATGCTACCACTGCAATGCTCTAACTTCCATCTCATGTTCTGATGCTGCTGAAATGATGTGGAAATTGTTACTGCACATTTCAGCTTCTGAAAGAGCTACTGGTGGACAGAACTTTAAGAGTGTTCTACTGCTCTGAATTGTGACAAGACTGATAATTCACCTCCTTTGATATTTTTACCGTAGATGAATACACAGACAACAGAAGCTTTCTTCACCTCTCCCCTCTGGACCCCAAGTTGAAGAAAGAACAAAATCAACCTTTGAGTGAGTCTTGAACAAACAATAAAGACATGTTTAAAGTTTAGAAAATGAGTCTGGGAGATCCAAGTTTTCTGTCACGTCTCAGCATGCTTTAACTACTTAAAGAATTTACCAACATCTAAAGACCATTTCTATAGCAAGCCAAAAAAATAGAAGAACAGAACTAAATCACTACACATTTTAGTATGCAACTGGTCTTAAAACCAGCTTCAAGTGGGTGCAAGTGCTAGCTGGTGAGGCATATAGGATCTTCTGCTGCATTTTCCAAAAACCTTGGAAGTAAAAGTAAGAATAATTTTATTATTTAAAAGACTGAAAAGACATACTTTTTTTAAAAAAGAACAAATTACCTGACAAGGCTTTTTCATTTTAATGGCTATAACATGATATCTGTAACAGCAGAGTTCACAGGTCCATGACCCTCTTTCACTTATCCACTTTAAGAGGCAAAGCTGATGCGTATATCGTACTGAGCCATCACAGCGGCAAGGGTTTAACAATTCACCCTGGAAAGGCAATACAGAAACATCAACTTTAAAGGAACCTTTCACGTACATGTACACTCAATACCAAAATCTTTAGGGGTCAGTAACAATGACCTGGTCTCAATTTCACTGGGTGGAAAAGTATGGTTTTTTGGCTATGAAATACTCAAAAATATAACTGTCTTAAAAATACCTAGCTGCATCTACTGAGAAAAGACAGAAAGCTGTCTACACGTGTTCACATACCTATGAGAAACAACTGAAATATTACCATGCATTAAACAATACCATTAGCCATTTCAAATACCTCAAAAGATACCAAAAGTGGTTGGATACATTTCTACAACAGCTATTTGAAGTCATCGCTCAGAAAGAAATGTGTGATGTCACAATTCCATGAGAACCTTGCTCTTGGAGCATGGCTCTGTGCTGTCCAGCTAGCCAGCTGTCAGTCAGGACCTTAAATAATGTAAGTAAGCACTTCCCCTAGTAGTTTCTGTATTATATAAATCAGCTATTCTCTTCTTTCCAACTCCAAGACAAGCTATAAAACGCTAGTTACAAATCCATTGCTGATAGTATACCCAGTAATGCCACGACAGAGATGATCCTTGGAGGTCTTCTCAGCATTACCTGTAAGCTAACACTCTCATTTTAAAGTCTAACAGAAACCTGAGAAATTCGTACTGTGTAGAGTCCCTCAGAGGTGAACCAGGGAGCGCGAGCGCCAGAGGACACCCAGCGTGCAAGCCAGACACGGCAAAAGCCCTGAATTTTCCCAAAGCTTTGCGCCGGTTCAGATTCGCCCCAGGCTTTCGCCACAACCAGCCCGCACAGCGGCCGCCGGGGAGGGCGATTCCTGCCGGGGAGCGACGCCGAGATCAGTACCAGGGACAGGGCACGGCGCCGGAGCCGAGGGGCGCGAAGCTGTGCGGGGTGCCGGCCGCCCGCCCCGGCGCCTCTCCTCACCTGCTCGGGGCCCTGGAAGCAGATCTTGCAGATGGGGCCGGCCCCGCCGGCGTGCCCGCCGCTGCCGCTCTCGCTGCTGCTGCACACCGAGCGCGTCTCGGGTTTGTCGTCGCCGGCAGCCCCGCTCTCCGAGCCACCCCTCGGGTCCTCGCCCTCCTCGGGGGTGTCTCCGCTCGCCTCCCCCGCCCCGGCCGGCAGCTCCAGCGGGGCGGCGGCGGCTGGCGGCGGCTCTCCGGCAGGGAGCACGACGCTCCCGGAGGCGCAACTCATGCCCCGGGGCACACGCTCCCCTGGGGCGGGGACGGTCCGCAGCGGCGGATGGCGGCGGGGATGGGGCGGCTGCGGGCTGCCGGCGGCCGGGAAGGTTACCCGGCGACAGGGAAGGTGACCCGGCGCGGCCGTTCCCTCACGGCCCTGCGCCCTGCGAGGAGCGGCGCGCGGGGCTGCGGCCGGTGGGCGGGGCGGGCGGCAAAGCGGGGGTACGGAGCGAGGGAGGGAGCGAGGGAGGGAGCGAGGGAGGGCAAGAGAGAGAGGGAGGGAGGGAGAGAGGCGTGGGGCTGGCACTGGGCACCACCACTGCCGCCCCCGCACCGCTCCGAGAAAGCCACCGCCCTCGCCAGCGCCCTGGCGCTTGCCCAGCCGGGCGGAACCCCTGCCCCTTTCCGGGACGAAAATGCCTGCTTGCTCGCCGCCACGGCCCTCCTGCCCTCAGCACCGGCTTCTTCCGCAGCCCGGCGGCCGCAGCCCCTGCCCCGCGGGCACTGGCTTCCCTTCTGTTCGTGGCCACCTCCTGGCCCTGCTCCCGGTGCCCAGTGCTCAGGGGGCTCCTCAACCACGGGCCCTCAGCACCGCAGGATGCGGCCTTTCAGAGGACACCTACAGATCTTTCTACTTTGTCGAGGTTTTGGCTGCAGGAGGTTGCAGAACGAATATTCAACAGTTGTTCTTTGGGTGTGAAACAGCTCTCAGTCTCTTCTGTGGCTGCCTTTTTTTTTTTTTTTTTTTTTTTTTCCCTTTTCTTTAATTCATTACATCAGCTCATTTTCAAAATTAAATCTGCTAAAAGCATAATGATCAAATAACTTCTAAAAAATTCCTCAGCAGTTAGAAATTCTTTAAAGTTTGCCTGGGGCTGCTGAAGGAAAGTAGGTGTGAATTTCAGCATCAAGTATGACACCAGTGCACATTTGATCTCGTGAAGATGACAGCAACTGTCTGTGCAGGGAAGGAGAGAGAAATAAAACCTAAAAAAAACCCCAAAACAATTATGAATCCATATGCTCTTCCATAGCCACATTTAGATCCAAAGTGTGATGAAATCACACACCTTCCTCATTGGCCACTTATCTGTATCCTCAAGATGAGGGAGTAGCTGGTGAGCTCAGCCTGTGCCTTCTCTGGCTGTGTTGTGATAGTAGTGGCTTTCTCGGTGTGGATGTTTTATCAGAAGACCGAAGCAGCAGACAGAACCAAAGCAGCACTTCTCAGCCCACAATCTCAAGGCATTGCATGGCTCTCAAGCTCTTCAGAGAGGCTTGCCAAATATATTCCAAACACCCGGTCCAACCTTTTGGCCTGGCTGGAGACCAGCTCAGCAATGTGCCGTTGGCAGAAAAGCATCAGACCCATATTGCAGGAGAGTGACATTCAAATCAGTTGGGGCAAGGTGTTGTTAAAGCAGTTTCGGTCCCCCTAGAGTCTGCGTCTATTATGGAGGCCATGCAACAGATAAATTAAGGACAAAGGACACCAATGTTATTTACAATATTGCTCGAAAGATGCATATTCAGAGGTTGACTCCTCATAGTGGAATAGGAAGTATCATTAAAACTTTTCTCATCAGCCACTAATTCCAATTCTCATGAAAATCTATTTTTCTGACAGCTCTACATTAGCTAAGTCAGTGGTGGACTCTTGCGGTGCCTCTTGTGGTCTGCAGCTAGCTCGATGGTAGGCACGCTGGACAACGAAGGCCAACCCCTATGACCACCGCGGGCGAGGGGCATGACCTGTGAGTCCTGCTGCACCAGACCTATAAAGGACCCTGTGTGACGGTGACAAAGACACGGGAGTAGTACTTCTGAGGGTACCGCAGCTCCAAGTTTATTGGTGGTCTACGAGACCCACATTAGCTTGAGTCGGGTACGCCCCAAAAGGCAGCAGGGTACAGCTGAGAGGGGATTATAACAGGGGGTGGCAACATGGGGAGGGAACAACAGTGAGCCAATGGGGAATAACCGGGGAGTGGTGAAGGGAATGATAATCAAGGGAGGTATCCAATGAGGTGAGAGGGAAGGAGGGGTCCCCGGGGATCAGCCTATCACCTAAGGCCCCACCTAAGGTTGGAAGGTTCTGGATATAAGGGAGAGGCCTCAGGGTGATAGACAAGCCCCGGGGTGGGGTAAGGGGAATGACTCAGCTTAAAGTTATATAGCTGGGGTGGGGAAAGGGAAGACTGACAGGCAAAAGGGGGAGGAGGAGAAGGGGGGACAGACCATGTAACATAAAGAGGGGGAGAGGGAGAAACCATTTCATGGGGAAACTGAAAACACACCCCAACAGTGGACATTTATGTTGGCATTACAACAAGATGCTTCAATCCCAAAATTATGTTTGTTCATGAGGTGGTTGTTAAGTAGGTAAATAACATGGATTTGTCCAGATTTGCTAATGTAAAGCAAAAAAAATGGCACATTGACAGAGACATTTTGATGAACAGCAGATGCTGTGGAGTTAGGAAATTCTCTCCGTATGATTTTTTTCATAGCAATGTAATACCTGAAGGGGTTGACAGAGAAGCTAAACAAAAGTGAAGACAGAACTAATCAAATAGATTAATTCTAAAAAAGAAAGTGGTAATCACAAAAAATGATGAGGAAAAAAAAAGGAAGTGTCAGAACAAACAGATGAATCAAAAATACTGTGTAGAAGAGAATTAAAGCAAAACCGGAAAAGTGGAACTAAAGGAGTGAAATGAGAAATGCATGCTAAAAAGTTACTCAACCATATCTGAGTAATACAGCATGCCCTTGCCATTTGCTGTATGTGGAGGTTTATGACATTTTCTTTCTCTTCCTTTTGTTTGTCAGCAAAAGTTCAGCAAGTGACATGGCTTTTGGAAAGGCTATAGAAAGAAGATTAAAATGTCAACACAAATGAAATGACTTCTTAGTGGCAGAAAAAGAAAGAAAAATGTGACTGTAGAGAATAATAGAGTGCTTTAAGAAGGTCAGACTTTTCTACCTAATCTTGGCTGAAATAATGTCTAACATGATTCTTAAAAGGAAATACATCTGACATGAATCAGGATATTTTTTTCACACATATGTAATTATGTTGGAGAGCCGATTGTGAGTGGGTATTTCACAGACATGAGTTTTTTAATATATCACCTGTTTGCCTGTCTACCAACAGCTACTGGCTTGCTGGCTAAAACAGAATTACAAAGGCTATCAATCCCTGTGCTTCAGAGAACATTGGAGTTGTTTGGCATTCTGGGGGGGAGGAGATGCCAACAAAAGAGCAGAAGGGGTGGAGAACATTCTGTAACACAGCCTCCAACCAAAGCAGCGTTCAGCCTTCTGCTGAGTGGGAAAGGAGGACTGGAGCCAAAATCAAAGATTGAAACATAAAGAAGAAAAATTTCAAGCAAGAATGGATAATTCACTTCATAACACCAGTAGTGTAGGTGGTTGGGAGAAAGCAAAAAAGACAAGGTGAAACCAGGAATAATTAATTTGTGATTAAGACAGTGACCTGGAGCTTATGGGATTTATATTTAAGCACATTTTGCTATACATTTCTTGAAGAACCTTGAGCTAGTGACCTCAAGTGGGCTGCTCAGAGGCATCTGGTTGCCTAAACACAGGCAGCTCTTTGCACTTCCAGACATATGTCCAACAGCCTCCAGGGGGCTGTGGCTGTCACATCTGCCATCCCTTTTGCAACAGTGGACATACATTCAAACCAGCACTAGACTCCCAGATGTTAGAACATCTCCCTTAGATGGGCTTATTCTCTACATAAAACTGAAACAATAATGTTTGCTTTCTCTGTTCTTGTTCCTACTTCTTCCACTATAATATGTGACATTTTACTGGCAGATTCAGGCCATATTTGTACAGTCTTGATCTTGGCAGAAGTATCTAGGCATTAAGACAAATAATAAGGAACAGTGATACCAAAAAATAACACCGAAGTAATAAGACTGTGGGATAGTGAAATTAATTGAATTTCCAGCAGGCAATGGAACAGGCAGGAGAAGTACAACCCCTGAGGGAACAGAACTTGTTTCTCCTCTATTTTCCTCTGTTCTGCTCCAGGTACATTTGTTTCTCCATGACACTGGCTCAGCACTGTGCAATATTTTCCTCCAAATAAAATAATGGAGGCTCATACCAATTCTTTTACCTGAGGAGAATCAGTTGTAGGTAGAACATCCAGGAATTAAAAAAATATGAGGGAAGTATTTGAATGGATGGAGGTGAAATGTTCAGGGAATAAAAAGAATAGGGAGTATTGTTTGGTTGTTGTTTGTTGGGTTTTTTTTAATTGTATATCAAGATAAACACATTATGGAAATCTTTATGTATAGAAGAGGTTACACAGGAATAAGGTGTGCAGGTAGCAAACTACTAGGGGGGTTATAGGAATGTTACCACATGCTGAAAAGCCAAGCACCGCTCTTCTTTTTTTTCTCAAAAAATTTCCATAAAACATTGACCTGTGCCATAAATATAGGAACAAAACAACTCAATGATGAGTTTCTTTCTTTTTGCTGCTTCCTGTACCTCTGAGGAAAACAAGATGATACAGTCCTGAAATATTAATAAGGGAGCAAAGGGAGTAATTGCCAGTTTATTACATTCAAAACAAAATACTAATGAGACAGTAGAAAGTTAAATCTACTTAGATAATAATACAGGCACATCATTCTATTTGCTGAATACCACATGTACACCCCTTTTACAATAAAACAGATTCGTAGAGATCACCTGTAAACAAAAATGAGGCATTTTGGATGTAGGAATGTGTTTAATTTTAAATACATTTTGCATATTTAATGTTGCATGTTTAATGCAACATAAAACATGCTCCTGAGTAATAAGGCCATTTCCCACATTTCCATGTCCAGCTTTTTTACACTAAAAGATTCCTGCAGATGGTTAATAGCCATGCTAGTGACAGTGGATTATTTGCTGGTTCACTAAGCGTGCCTGATTTTTGTTATAAACACACATACTCATCCTGCGGTGGAAGATTTTACAGTTATGTCAACCAATTCAAATCTCATGCAGGCAGAAACCACTTGTCCAATGACAATCTTTATTTTCACACTGCTCGCTTGCATTTTTGGAAATGCATACCTAGTTTCCTATCAAACCCAGTATTACTCAACAATGATACATCCCTATATAGGCAGAAGCATCCATTCTCAGCAGAAGACTGAGGCATTTCTCGAACTTCTGTACACATTGGGGCTCTGAGTGCATGAAGGAAACATGGAAATTTTTGGAAATATGAAAGCATCCCCTTTCTTCTGTTGCTGGGGATGCTGGAGAAGCCACAGCCCCTTTGAGAGGGGCTTTTAAGATGAGCCTCTGCTTCTTGGCCCTGACCCAAGCCACAGCTCCCACCATGCCTGGCCAGTGCCAGCCTCCCCCCAGGGCTGCCTTAGCACTCTCTTGTCCCCCCTTTTGTCCCAGCTAGCTCCGTGGGGGGGGGGGGGGGGGGAGCGCTGGCAACTTCCGTGTTTTCCGGCGAACCCTCGCGGGTGTCGGCCGGTGCTGCGTGGGTCTGGGAGCGAGGCGAGTCCCAAGGCGATTAAAAGGAGAGAGACTTTTTCCCCCGCGGGCAAAATCTCGGTTTATTGCGGCTTGGTTGGGAAGGCAAAAACCGAAAAGACTGTAGCGTGCTGAGTTAGAGTTTGTCCGTGCCGCCTGGCCGATTCGGGGGCGGGGCGGCGCGCTCCGAAGCTGGCTGCGAGCCAAGAGAGGCGGCGTGCGGAGCCGCGGCGCTGCGGCCGGCACATGCAGGAGCTGCAGCGACAGCAGCAGCAGCGGCGGCGGCAGTTCGGCTGCGGCAGCGATCACGGGGCAGTTCGGGGCGGCCGCGATCGCCTGGGGCAGCGGCGGTGGTTGCGGAGCAGATGCAAGTGGCGGCGGCTGGGGCAGTCAGGAGCCGGGCGGGAGAGAGAGCCGTGGCAGCACGCAGGAACCAGGAGGGAGAAAAAGCCGCTGGAGCACGCAGGAGCCAGGTGGGAGAAAAAGCCCACGGCAGCACGCAGGAGCCAGGCGGGAGAAAAAGCCGCTGGAGCACGCAGGAGCCAGGCGGGAGAAAAAGCCCACGGCAGCACGCAGAGGCCAGGCGGGAGAAAAAGCACCGGGCGTCCCCAACCCGCGCTATAAGTACCGAACAGGGGAAACCCGGGGCAGCCAATGGGATAACGCCATGGGGGGTCTGGGGACAGTGGGGTGCAGGGGTCCAATGGGAGATGGACAGATGGAAGGGTGCCAGGTTGTCTCCCGACCCCGCCGCGTGACTGACAGATGGTCTGGGGGATGTAAACACTGTGACTTGGCACTTTCTCGGGAAGGCAAACCGCGGGGGGAGATGGGAGAACCCGGGGGGTCGCTACAGATTGCGAGGGGATACATGGAATGACCTTATACATAATAGAACATATAATAACACAATTCCACAACTCCCTCTTCTGTTTTTCAAAAGAAAAGAACGGAAAATAACTTAAATGGGAGGTTTTAAAGTCCTGTTCCCCATCGTTGAACCCGATGCCTGCTCGGTTCTTCTCTGGCTGTCTGCGTTGAGCGGATGTCAGCTCTGATGGGGCGGTGAAAACTGCGTGGTCGATGTGCACGGTGGGATTGATGATCTTTAAACCTTTTAACATTGCTAAAACTTATAATAACAGTGAATGTCAACAGCAACATAAGTCAGCATTCTGGGGAGGGGAGGTTTAAATCAAAAGGGAAAGGTGAGTCCCGGGAACTGGATGGTGAAAGGGAAGGCTCTGAAGCAGAAGGTGCTGAATCAAAAAGGAAGGGGGGAGACTTTCTCCGTCTGCGGAGGGCTGCATGCTTCACCTGAGGATCCTTTTTCTTATCAGTCTGGTGTTTGGGGACATATGGCCGGACAAATTTGGACGGGACCCATCTCAGGCCTGAGGGCGTGGACACGCAAGCATATCCCCGTCCCCAGGTAACTAACTCGTGGGGCCCTTCCAGCTGCCAAGTCTCTGGATTTTTGATGATCACTGGTGGTTTTTCCCTAACCTTGCTCAGCTCGTGGTTGCTAAAGTGCCTGGTGACTGGTGGGTTGAGGTTTTCAAAAGAACAATTCAGGAAATTTAGTGTAAAGAGGGCACGCCCGAGCCGAACTTGGGGGGACTCAACCTTCATGGTTGGTGTTTGCTGTTTCAGCATGCGTTTGAGACTCTGATGAGTCCGCTCCACCATGGCTTGACCTGTCGGGGAATATGCGATGCCAGTTTTGTGTTCTATTCCCCATTGCTGCAGGAAGCTGGCAAATCCCTTGGATGTGTACCCGGGGGCATTATCTGTTTTTATCAATTTTGGGACGCCCAGCATAGCGAAGGCCTGTATCAGATGCTTTTCAATGTCTTTGGCTTTCTCCCCTGCGTGAGCAGAAGCAAAGACTGCCCCAGAGAAAGTGTCCATGGAGACATGGACGTACTTTATCCTCCCAAAGGAATGGATGTGAGTAACATCCATCTGCCATACCTCGCAGGACTTCAGACCCCTAGGGTTTGCCCCTGAGCTCACCGATGGTAGGGGGAGCGACTTGCAGGACGGGCAGGTGGCCACAATGGCTCTGGCTTGGTCACGAGTGAGGTGGAATTGCTGGACCAGCCCGGGCGCATTCTGGTGGTAAAACTGGTGGCTGATCTTAGCCTGCTGGAACTTATCTGGGAGCGGAGCTACCTGAGCCGGGGCGGCAGTGAGAGAATCGGCACGCCGATTGCCCTCTGCCAAAAACCCTGGCAAGTTGGTATGTGACCTGATATGCATCACGTAAAAGGGTTGCTCTCGGTGGGAGACTAACTTAATCAGTTTCGAGAGCAACTTGTGCAGGGCTTCATTGGACACACCCTGCAGAACAGCGTCCTGCACTCTAGACACTACACCAGCTACATATGCCGAATCGGTTACCAAATTA